CAACAGCCCTTTATCTCCCCTCCAGCCTACCTCCTTCAGCACTGAGGGCCTAGCCAGGCCACCTGAGGCTACCCTCGGACTGCCAGTGCATACGAAGACTCAGAAGGAACAGGTACACTTTACACTGCTATCTGCATTTGTTTGGCAGAATCTCCAAGAGCAAACAGGCTTAGTGTTAGTCACTGAAGACTGAAAAGTTGTCACATGATAAAGAGGAGGAAAGGGTCTGCAGGACGGCGCATGTCTGTATTCCCAACACTTAGTACACCAGGCAATTATACCTCAAGTTTAAGGCCAGCCTGTGCTACAAAGATCCCATCTCTAAGAGGAAGGGGGCAGCAACAGCTGAACTGGGGGGAGGTAGAGGTCTCTGGGAACCATGCGACATCATGGAGACTACGGCACAGGAAGAAACGGGACCCTTCAAACACAGCACGATGATACAGAGGGTAAAGAGCCTGGCTTCTGCGTGTTGCGGGTATGGCTGTGGCGGTAACCACCGCGCTCACCGGGCTAAGACCCATGTTCAGCCTCTAGCTACCAGCTTGACTGCCAGACTGAGATCAGATTCAGTTTGAAGGGCACAAGGCCACAAAGAGTCCCAGAATCAAGTCATGTGACCAAGTATGTGACCACAGGCAATGAGAGGTTTGTAGCTTTTTGTGGAGGCTGACATAAATGTCCAAGTATCTCATAGTAAGAAATGGGAAAATCAAAGTAGACATATGTTCCACTCTGAAACAGTGTACACAAGAAACAGAAGGTCTGAAAGTCCTTAGTCTCCTTTGAGCACAGAAAATAAATATGGGGAATTGTAGAGATGGCTCAGGTTATAAAACATTGTTCCAGAGGCTGGCTGGTCCTACAGATCCAAAGCTGCAGGATCTCCATGACACAGGGCAACAACAGGAGTCTCAGTGAGGATCCAATATTGATAGGGTAGCAGAAGCCAGAGGCCTTGAACCAAACCAATTACTCATTGCAACATATATTTCAAAGTAAACAAGTGTGGACAAAAGGGTATACTGTGAGACATACTGTGACAAGATCTTTTTTCTTCTTTTTTGTTTTTTCTTTTTGGGGGAAAGATTGCAAAGGCAGAAGGCAGGTATGAAGGGATAGAGAGATGAGTGGGATTGGGGTGCATGATGTGAAATTCACAAAGAATCAATAAAAAGTTAAAAAACAACCTAAATACTCCTCCTGTTCAATTCCCAGCACCCACATGAAGATAAATACATTTAAAAGAAAAGGAAATGAATGCAAAGAGCTGCACGTATCATGTCAAACACACCCCTCTTCCTCTTTATTGTTTTAAAGAGAGAAGAGGGCATATCCCCACCATAGTCCCAGCTTCAACAATAAACACAAAACATTCTAAACCTAGCTTCATGAAGTCACCTAAAAAGAACAAGCACTTTTTACACACCAGGCACCAGGTGACACAGGAGGAATATAAAGGAACCAAGTCTCTCGCCTACGGCAAGAACAGACACGTTTGTAGACACACGAGCATGTGTGCATACTGATGTTCATATATGTGTACATATATAGTCACACAATGCGAAGACCTCACTAAGTAATAACCTTGATTATCTGTAAGGGTTTCAGTCCTCTTTATGACTAAAAGATGGTCATCACAATTGTTATAGATCAAAACATACACTTTAAGAGTTGGAGGTAGTAGTTCAGTGAGCACATGCCTAGTATGTGGGAAGGAAGGAGAAAAAGGGATGGGCAAGTGAGATGGGCATGGTGACACATGCCTGTACTCCCAGAACGTGGGAAGCTAACAGAGGGTGCAAGTTCAAGGCCCACCTGGTACCTGGCCCAAGGCTACATGGTAAGATACTGTCTGAAGAAACAAACAACAACAAAACTCATTTCATTTAAAAGCCCTCTAAACACACCTCCCAGTCCCAGGTGGGGCTGTACGCAGAGCTGTAGCTGCAGAAGGCGGCACTGCAGGCCCCCAGTTACAAATATGTTCATCATCAACCTAGTGAATCGAACACAACTAGGGTGTTCCAAACACGAGCCTCCAAAATGGCTTCCTTCCTAACCTGTTGGTTTTAAGGCTGCCGCTGACCTGCGGCATTTAATACTATGTGCTACTTAAGTAATGATCCCTTGTCTGATGGGACAGGCTGTTCTTTTGTAGTCTGGCTGGTTGGTTGCCCACATGAATTAATCAGTATTCATGAGCGTGTGTCACACCCAGGCTTTCAGCAAAGCTTCTTATCTGTGCTACTGACTCCTCTGTGATATTTCTGGAGTTGATCTGTTGTTGCTCTTAAAAAGTGAATGGAACAGGTTGCTATACCCAACTGCTATTTATAGACTAGTCTGTAAAATGCCTGAAGCCTAGATCACTGGTTTTTTGTTTTTTTATTTTTTAAAGCTAAAATATGATGCTAATTTTGGTCCTGGTGACCTTACCTAATACAGTAAGAAATGCCAACTTGCTCCTTGTTACATGACATTGAGCAAATTTACGTTCGGGCTCAGCTCAGCCATCTCTAGCAGATGCCTTTAGCATCTAGTGCCCACAACCAAACAAGACACTTGCACATCTTTCTAAACTCTGAGAGTAATTCTGTTTTAACTAAAACAATGGTGTCTACCTGTTAATGCCTCCTCCTACTTTACCATTCACAAGGCACTCTCCCATTTCCAGTTTTCATAGTTAACAGTCTCTGGGCACTCAGTTGTATAGCAACTGTGCTAAACACTTGATGCGGATTATAGAATTTTCAGATTCAAAGGACATCAGTACAGTTATTGGATGAAAACTCCCCCCAGAGGCTACACAGACATTAGGAGCTGAGCTGTGATTCAAACCTAGGTTGCCTCTTTGGAAGCCCAACTTCTCAAATGGAGGCCGGAGGTCAAACTCGGTGTTGTTCTTTGCATGTGTGTTTAGTTTTTGAGACGTGTTCTCTCATGAGGACTTCACTAATGAGGTGGGCTTGACAGCAGGGAGGTCCAGGGATCTCCCTGCCTCTGCCTCACCAGTGCTGGGTTACAAATGCATGCCCACGCACAGCTTTTCTGCATGCGTCCTAGAGCTGAACAACACACCCATGTGCTATGTGGCAAGCCCCTTCCGACCTGGAAGCATCTCCCCAACCTGGAATCAAATTTGTAAGCACTGCATTACCCGCTCCTCGTTCTTGTGACCCAGGTTTAGTGACGCCTGGGGCTGAGTCCCGAAACATGGAAAAGCAATAAGAGGCATGATGGTGTAGACTTGGCAATTTCACATAAGAATTACAGTGCCAGATGGTCACAATGAAAATCGAATATTCAGAAATTTAAAATTGATGACCTATTAAAAATGCCAAAATTTCAAGAGTTGTATCACAGGTAAATTGGAGGTGGTCCTCAAGCAAGAGATTGTTTTTCCATGATGACCAGTAAGTGCACCCGGGCACTTTGGGAAAAAATGTGCAGCAGCTGCTAAGATCAATGCCATTGAGGATAACACTGTTAGCTCCTATAGTTTCTCCTTGAGCCTCTGTCAGAAGAGGAGCTCTGGCTTGGTGAAGAACAGGGGCAAGAGGCAAAAACCAATGTCCTTAGGAATCAAAGCAACAGCACCATAGAAAGCAAACAGTGAAGGGCTCTGCATAAACAGATTCAGGCAGGAAATGGTGACACAAAACAGGGTCCTTTCGTGCCCCAACACATAATAAACACGTAAAGTACAGGCACCGCAGGACAGCTCAGAAAGAAGACACCATGCAAGGAGGGTCCTATGTGTGTGCTGTGGGATGGATGGATGGACCAGCCTCCCACAGCACAATGATAAGAGCAAGTGTGCAGTAGCTGTGATAAGAATGAAGAGAGCTGTGAATTACTTATAGGTAGCCACAAGTCCGTAGTCTTACTCCAGGACTGCTCTGGCCAGGGCCGGTGGTGTCTGACTACAAAGTGGACGGGACGAGGCATAGTTGGGTGAGCACCTGTATGCTGGGTGGGCCAGACCAGCTCCCAGGTCCTTCCTCTCTAACTCTTCACCTATGTGGGGGTGGGATCATGATCTCTGCATCGCTTCTGAGCCCTTCTTCATACAAACATCCTTAGCCTGTTTAGCCTGTGTCTGCTGTGTGCCTGGGCAGACACTCAAGGCCAAAGATAACACACAAAGCCTTGTTTTCTACTTTGCAAAAATATCCCCCCATAAACAAAAAGCATGAAATAAGGAGATAACAAAGCTATGTTCCAGTGATCTTTAACACAGCAACAAGGGCTCTTGTGTACAAGATACCATGTTTCTAATTGCAAAACATCGCTTGCACACCTGCCCAACAACAGCTCAACCAAAAAACAGGTCCATCAGATTGACACAGTCTAAACGTTCAGCTCCTGTCACGCTGCAGATAACAGAAAAACACTGAGCAGTAGCTCCAGGCAATTTTCCAGTAATACCTGTAAATCTTTCTACAGCCATCTCTACCCAGCTATCAAAAGTGAGCTCAATGACAAATCAGTTAAAATAAATTGCTTTTAGAAACTTGCAAGCCATACACAACATCTCTTGAGTCTTCCTTCTGAAGACATGTAATTGTCACTCACTGTCCGTGTTGCTTATCTGTTTCCTAGGCCAGCCCATAGCCATTCACTCCCATGTTATTCCACCCATCCTGTTCTGGCCCCTGGGGACCTCTATGGAAAATGGGAGCTATCTTGCTTTCCGGCCTCTTGTGGAAAGAACTGTGGGATGGAGGAGAAAACTGGAAGCCGGGTGCCCCAGCTTCCTCAGTGTCTCCAGATAGGCAGGACTCTGCAGTTCTCCAATTCCCTGCTTTCCCTTTGCTGAGTCTGTACCAGGTGTGCTCACAGCATCCCTAAGCAGCGTCCCTAGATTCTTAACTACGCCTCACTGGTTGTTGTGCCACCCTATGTCCTTACAAGCAATCCTCTACAACAGGTACTTTGAGGGTAAGCTGAAGAGCCTGTTGTCGGCCATCCTGTGGCTCTACTCTGAGGTCACTTACATGCACCGTGTGGACCAGATCGGCCGCCAGGCACTGCTTCAGCCTCTCATCGCTGCTGGTTCCATGTAACACCAAGTCAGGCATATATGTGGTACAGTAACCCGCCAGAAGTGAGCGGCCAAAATTTCTAACATTTGGCTTGCTGGTGCTCTGAGACCTAAAAGAACATCGGAAATATTAAACACATAGTTTAAGAGTACACACAGTTTATATTACAATGGGAACAAAACCTCCAATGATACAAGAAAATACAGTTTTCCTGTAGTCTGTATTAGGGTTCTCTAGTAAGGAGATCATAAGTATGAAAAAAAAGAGAGGATTTGGGAGGAAAGGAAGTAATTTTTATTAAAATGGAAGCCAAGAAAGAAAAAAAGAATACTATTTCCATGGCTAGTTAAAAGCTCATTCTTAAGGCAGATATAGAGTTTAAGACCAGCCGAGGCGAAATAGTAAGAGCTTGTTTAAAGAACCAAGAAACCTATTCTCATAAATCATATTGATCATCCACCAGAGTCCATGTCAGAAGAATGAAGAAAGAAGCTTGGATCGTGGTACCAAAAACAAGACTGTATGGTTCTGACCTTTCCACAGAGGGAGGTGTCCACCAGTGAGAAAGAACAGCGGGATCTTTTAATTGCAACTTTCAGTCACCACAGATTAAAGAACCAGCCTGAAGGAATGCTAATAAAGGGGACTGAGTGGTTGGAGAAGCCTTACTGTGCATTTGCTCCAACATCTTAGAGGCAAGACACCCAAAGCCTGCCGTAAAATTACACATACATGACACAAGATGGAATTCTCTCCTCCTTGCTACCATGGCCACTGTGGCCTATCAGTTCCCCCAAATTTCTCAAGAGCTGCAAAGACAACCACCACACATCCAAGAACTCTGTCCCAAACTTAGCTGCACCAAGATGGTGAGTGTCCTTGGAGATCAGACAAGCTGGAAACCCCTGAATGTAACTGGCGATACCTCTAATATCTTAGAGAAAAACACGGAGGGCATATAATAGGGTCGTGAGTGGCTACCACCGTCCTAGCATCAGGCTAGGAACAGGCTCTGGTTCCCTGTGCAGTGTTACCTTGGCAGAGGCAGCTCCACTTCCAAGGGCTCTGGAGTCCTGTCACGACTGCGACCTAGCTCTAGCAGGGCTAAAACACATGCTTCATCATCACTGTCTCCAAGAGCACTATCCAAGCTCTCGTTCCTGGGAATGTCTCCTTCCATCCTGTGGCTGGCCTTACCACTGGCTTCCCCATAGGGGACATCTGCAGCATCCAACAGGTGGCCCTGCTGTTTACATCTGTTTGGAGCAGGCTCCGATGAAGGTCCTTTCTTGCCTTTTAATTGCAAATCTCTAGTCTGTTCCAATGGTCTCAGGCCACTGCCTGCTGCACAGCTGGAAGATGCAAGGGGATTACCCACTTGGCTAAGTTGTGCCATGATGCTGGCTTGGAGGCCTCTGTCCTCAGAGACACCTTCTGCCCCTGAAGAGTGGTCCTGAGCAAGGGTGATGCCATTTTGAAAGTCAGCTTTGAAGGAGCACCTAGAGCCCTGCTTGTCTTGGGTGAGGACACTGTCTGTGCTAGACCCGACAGAGGCACTGGCCCCACCAAATCGTCCACAGGCCTTTATCCGTTCCTCCATTTTCTTGGTGCGGCTTTCAAAGTCAGACTCTGGAGAGACAGAGCTTCCAATGTGGAAAGTGACCTTTTCAACAGGAGGCTCCTCCTGGGAATGTCTGTCAGGGCAGGGCCAGGCCACTGACCGCTCTGCTGGTTTCTTTAGCATCTCCCCATGCAGCTCCTCATGGACAGTTTGCTGGTCCACCCTTACCTTTACCCTGGGAACCTCACAGCTGGGAGGTCTTGAAGAGCCATCCTGGTCTGCCTCTTGGTCATTCTGTTTGTCCTGATAGAATATGGCTTGAGGAACCCACAATCTACCAGGTTCTGTGTCCTGGAAGCCCATGATACTGGCCTCAGAATTCTTCTCTGGCCTCGTGCATGTGTTTGTTTCAGGCCTGTGACCCAGATTATTAGTACTGATGCCCTCTGGGACCTCAGCTCCTCCCACAGGCTCAGGGCTCCTGCTCTCAGTTGGCCCTGGTGGTAGGATTGGTGGCACAAGAGCAGGCTCATTTCTCACCGTAACTACCACATACTCAGACTCTTCCACCTCTCCCTTTTCTAAGGCTGTGACAATCTTGCTCCCGTTTATAACTTGGTCATCCTCACTAGGGTCCCCACTCCAGGTCAGTTGATTCTCTTGCAGTTCAGAGCAACGGAGAAAGTAGGTCAGAACATACAGGATGCGCTGGACCAAATCCTTCTGCTTCCCAATCACCACAGTGCGAGTCAGTCTCACCGGAGAGCCTATAGCTCCGTAAAGGTCACCTACAGCAAAAGATGGACAGAAAACAAGGCCCTCTGGCGTTAGCATGTATGGCTATATATGCCCTTTACAAGAACAAAAGAGGTTACTTGATTCCCAGCTTCCAGCCACTTTCTGATGCACCACATATCGAATTTCTAGAAATGACCACAGTGTAGTTTCCCTGACATTGGAGGGCATATCTGGAAGACCTAACAGGCTGCAGCTCAGCATCCAGCTGAGCACAGCAGAGCACAGGAGCAGTGCTGCTGGACACACAAGCCCCTCATTGTGCTCAGGTGGTTGCAGCTGGCGCAAGGAAGGCTGGAGCCACTGCTCTGCATAAATGACCAGATCAAGTATGACATACTTGGGGATAACTTGTAAATTAGAAAAACTTCTTAGACTGCTCAGGGGCCTGAGTCAGGGCTGGAGAGAGGGCTCAGTGGTTAAGAGCATGTGCTGTGCCTGCTGAGGATCCAAGTTCAACTTCCAGAACCCATAACCTTGTTGGGCAAGGTTTCTCATAACTGTCTATGCTCTGGATAGGCCATCTGATCTCCTCAGATACCTGCATCCATATGCATGCACTCCCACAGACACACACACACACACAACCAAAAAGGAAAAAGAGACAGTGAGCCTTAGGGTAAAGTGCAAATTCAAGAATTTTCAAACTGATAAGAAGCAAATCAATTAAGAATACTTAATGAGGTAGTTAGTGTGTGCAGGGTTCTCCTGGTACCTTGACTGGTTTACTCTAAGTAGACTCCGGTTAATTTATAAGAACTACCTAGTCACAAATAATAAATCTGGATGTTTTCTTTATCATATGAAAACTCTATAGGACACAAAATATGTCTTCTTAGTTATATTCTGATAAGTTGGTTAGAACGAGCTGATAAGCCAGCTTTGTGTGCAATGTGAAGGGTGGAAAATGGCAGAAGTGTTTCAATAGTGCTCCCAGAACACACTGATAGAAAGGGCTAAAGAGAACAATGGAACAGGAAGGGTTAACTTGGGTGTGGCAGAACAAAGGGCAGTGTAGTGGAGGGAATATGGAGAAAGATGACTAAGGACCTTCAAAAAAGTCACATGGAAACCAAATACTGTAGCTGCTTACACACACACACACACACACACACAAACATACACACACACACACACACACACACACACACACACACACACACACAGAGAGTTAAAATGAAGTTACCTACAAGAGGGCAACAGTGTCTCCTATTAGATACTATGAGCTATCAAATAAAAATCCCAGAGCCTTGAACAGGCTACTTCTTTGGGAGTTATTGACTGATGAGATCCTGTAAACCCCCAAACATTACAGGCTGTTGCAATACTCTTGGTTACTCTACAGAATTTCGGAGTAAGATGCCTTGCTGAAGACACCACATAGAGAACTGCAGCTAGCACTTGCCTGGAAGCTACATCCCTAACTGGCTCGCTTTCATTGTTTTTGAAGGTACCATAAGTGCTATGAGGGGAAGGTTGGAGTCAATCATATATCCAGCTGTGAGCCCTGTGCGCTACAGAAATGACTGGCCTGGTAAAATATGGCCCCTGGTCCACCAATGGCACAGTTATCATTGGAGCCCTGTTCCACAAGAAAAAAAACCCATATCCAGTACAATTAAAGAGCCAAAAACCTCTGTCTGGGCAGGTCATAGGCTCTGGGGATATCTGCTGAGTCTGCTAAATGGATAGACACAGAAATTCTAACGACTTACTGTTGCGCCCACAAACCAACGCATCTTTCAAGCCTCATCTGAGAAGTGTCTATTTACAGCAGATGGTGATTAGCATAGAGACCCGCAAGTAGCCAAGGAATGCTCAGCCCTAAACAGAACACATCTACTGTACCCCCTCTTCTCAAGGATCATGACAGAAGAGAAAACAGAAAGAATATAAGAGCCAGAGTAGCTGCAGATGAACTCATGGCAGTCTTGACAACATGCACAGAACTTGTGCAAACCTAGGACAGACCAAATGCCTGCATGGAGATGAAGTTGGGCATAAAATCCCACCCCCAGCTATGGAGCTTTGGGCAACTGTTGGGTTCTGGGAAAAGAGAGAGAGTTTTCTCTGAGGACTGCCCCTGATGAGTCGACCATACTCCTGAGCAAAAGCATCAACACAAAGTGATCTGGATGGTCTTTAAAAATAAAATTAAATGAAATTAAAAAGGACACAAGGTTAGGTGGGTAGGGGTGGATCTGGAAGAGCTGGCAAAGGGAAGGCAAATATGATCAAACATGAAAAACTCTCAAAGAACACATTTTTAAAAAGTACTCATTACCTAACTACTAAGCCATGAAGCTTGACCATCTGATTATATTTGCAATACGACAGTCAACCAGCATTTTTTTAACTGGGTAGCTCACTTAGGGAAAGTAAGAGCTGAAACATTATATCCTTATACAACCAAACCAGAGTCAGAAACTACTGAGAGCCACCAACATTGGAAGGAGTGACAAAAATGAGAGGCGGTACTCAGTGACAGTTACAAAGAAGAATGTGGGAATTTAGGACTCAGCTGAGGAATGCATCCGCAGAGGCAGGAAGCCACAGGTTACAGAAAACTAAAATTAGCAAAGTGAGGCCAAGAGAAACGTTGTGAGAACGGGCAGGAAGTTTTCTCTCTAGGGAACCATAAGGAAGTTTGTCCCTTCGCTGAGTTTTCCCCAGTGCATAGCTTTCAAGAACATTTAGAGAGTAAGACAGAAATAATGATAAACAACCTTCTGTACAAAAAGACAAGATTGAGGATATGGAGCTTTAGCATCTAAGAAGTCATCTTAGACTTCAAAGTGAGAGCTTAGAAGTGTGGTGACATGCCATGGTTTGGTCTCAGAAATCAGCCCTGACCACATGCTCATGCTATGCCTTCTGTCTCATCCCAGCTCTTCAGGGCACCACAGTCACTTCAGGGTTCATGACTGTTTCGGTGACTACTACATACAAGCCGGTCCTGGTGGTGTGGGCCTGTGACCCCAGTTACTGGGGAAGCTGAGGCAAGACGATCATGAGTCAAGACCAGCACAGGCTATACACAGAGTTGCAGGCTAGCCTGGGCTACATACAGTGCTTCTGTGTCAAGTATGAAACAAACAAGCAATGCCTCTCCCCCAAGAAAACACACAGATCTAAAAATTTTACCAGATGGCTCAAACCTTATATATTTTTAAAATTAATTTTCTAAGTGTTGGAGCAGCATGGTATATGACTTTTCTTGTCAACAGAGTACAGCAAAAGGGCTTCCCAGGTCATAAAGAAGGGTTACTACTGTAGCCAGTGCACAGCAGCAAAACTAGAAAAAGAAGCATGAAGCTCCTCACTCAGAAAGGGTTTAAATATTCCATAAAAAAAATGAAAAACTGGGGAGTCTTCTGAAAAAGAAGAGATTGCATTTGTAAGTGAACTGGATGAGAAGGGAAGGTGTTGCTGAGAAGGGAAATGACTCGGCAAGAGTGCCTATAAGCCAGAGGACCTAGGCTCAGGTCCCAGGGCCCACATAAGAAGCCAGGTAGCCACATGTGCCTGTACCCTGGGGACAGAGGGCTCCAGGTTCAGGGAGGAGTCCTTCTCAGGGGAACGGGGCAGAGAGAGACAGAGGAGGATGGCTGGCATGGGCACATGCACCTGCACAGGTCTGTTTGTTCACGTCCTTGCACACTGCTGAATGAAAAGCCATGGTAAAGGTCAAGGTGTAACCAGAAAATGACAAACTCAAAGTGGGCAACATTTTCCAGGGGGTGGGGAAACGTGTACTTTCTTACTGTTGGGTTAGATTTACAAGTACTTAGTACTTTTTGTTGTTGTTGCAAATGAAGGATAATGCTCTGAAACACACACACGTAAGTTTCACTCTAACCCTCCTCAAGAGTCAGTTTCCTTGTCTATACAATGGAAACCTCACAAGTGTCTTGAATACAAAGAGACATATTTGTGATGAATGTTCACTTAATCCTTAGACTCCAACGAGGAGCACATCTCATCAGGGTGAAGGAAAAGAGAAGGCATGGTTGAAAACAGGCCAAGTAGGATTAGGTGTTCGAAGAGGAGAAAGAAGAAAAATGAAGAATAATGCACACAGCCCTGATGGCTGTGAGTCCCATCAAGCACGGTAATATGCACACAGTGGGGATTCCAGGAAGAGGAGGAAGACAGACTGGAGTAGAAATAGATCTTAAAACAAGGCCCGCCCAACATCTAAACTTCATGAGAGACGTAGAGCTGTCCATGAGGTCAACGAACTCCAAGCAGGGAAACCAACATAAGAGTAAAAACAAACATGCCGTAACTAAACTGTCAAAAGCCAAATGCAAAAGGGCACTTTGAAGGCAGCAGGAGAGAACCCGACACTGAGAGCACAGGTTTCTCACCTGCAGCAAATACATGCTGAGGCGCCGCATCCTAAAACTCACATTTCACACAGTGCCTGTGGGTCATTCTTCTACTCTACCGTCCTGTTTAAATGCCCCTCCAACACACTAACAGCTTGCACTGGCCACTGGTGCGTGGTGCCCTTCATGTGGAAATCCATGTGCATGGCGTCTCGGAGCAGAGGCACGGGATCACGACACTCCAAGGAGCAAGCCCTTGACTGTGCAGAGAGACTGCGGCTAAGCTTCCCTGCTCAGGGCGCTGAGACACCACACAGGTAAGAACACAAGTGTAGACTGTCCCGAGGAGCTCTCAGCACACACTGAAATCAGATGAAAGTCACACCTGCTGGTTAGTCCCCAGAGCTAACCTGACACACAGAAAACAACTGTGTTTTAGGTACCTCCTCGGACTGCTCATGGAAACATGTTCATCACTTGTGATAATGGAGCTTCGATGGCTCACATGAGACTTCATTCCCTCCTCAAACTACTCTGGTCACACCCAGTCCCCAGATGGGACTCTTCTCAGGAAGATGGCACTGAAGACCTTCTGTGGCTTATGATTTCCAATGAAAAGCAACCATCAAACCCCCATGAAGGGATCTTTGCCTTATTGTGCTGCACACAAGGAGTCAGTGGTTCCCAGTGAGCTCAGTCCCCTGGGAGAAGCATCCCTAAGTTTAAATGCATTCATCTAATTAAATGCATGCTGCTTAATTACAACTGCTTGAAAATGGACTCTGCAGCAGGAAACACTCTATTTCCCTAAGGACCAGCCTGTTCCCCTCCAGCAGTGAATACTACACTTTGAAAAAATATTTTTCCCCAAATGAGAACAACCGCAGGTGTGTTCTTAGGGCTACTCAATCCTGAGTGAGGCGGCAAGTTCTGAACTGTCTACAACTCTTAATCCCCCTGCCTCAGCCTCCCAAGTCCTGGGATTACAGTCATGTGCTGTCACTCCCAGTCTAACATGGTTTTACTCTGCACAAATTACTTAGTTAATTCATTTAAGACACACCCATTACTGACCCTGAGATTTGCGTCTTCTTTTTCGTCTCAGGGCACAAGGCCAGGAAAGTATTTTTACTGCTATACGTAAGGATGACTGTAGCAGGTTGGAGTTGAGGATCTCACCGGTTGGTGCGTGTATAAGGCACTAACAACACTACTTGTGTCATGGTGTCAGCTTCTGTTGCAGTTACTGAAACATTTTTCTAGGACCAGAGTGTTCTCCCCAGCCCACTGCTTTTCCTAGCAATTACCTTTTGGAGATTCCCTCAAGTAAGCCCTCTTTGAAACATCATCCATCCTCTTTCTCTCTATATAAATGCCCCATAACGTATCTTCCGTAACAGCATCCAGAGCAATGGTGCTTGGGACAAATGATTGTGTGTCGCAGCAAACACAAGTCCTGACTCCATCACATCTAACATGTGCAGTGTTTGCTTGGCCACATACAAGGTCCTACCGTTAACAAACAGAAAGAAGAGCCACGAGAGAGTTAAGTGGCTTTGGAACAGAGCAATTGGCCTCCAGCACCCATATTCTTCCCCCCTGACACCTTCACTTCCACATCCCTTGCCCCCTCTTATCTAAGCACTGGGCTGTCCTCAATGGCCTGATCAAGGTCGGCCTCGGCCACCAAGCACTGACACTGAGGCCTGCGCAGCTGTGACTCAACTCTGAGCTCCAGCACATGAGTGCCGCAGAAGAAGGTCATGTAACCATATCTCATCACTTGGATGTTTGCTGAGAATGAGGCCACATAACCCAGATGGGCAACCCCAGCCTCACCCATGTGGTGTTAGATTCCTATGCCATGCCCAGATATGGGTTGAGGTAATGCTACGCCCAACCTCAAGGACCAAGCAACAGACATCATGCTTATGGCGCAGTCAGAAAGGCACTAAGATTACAGCGTGCAGCTTTCCCCTTGTCTTCTCTCTCCCCAGCCACTCCATCCTACAGATGTCACTCTTGCCAGGGAAGTCTGGCAGCATTTAGAGACATTTTGATGGTTACACCCTGGGGCAGAGAGCGGCTGTACTAGAATGGAGGTCAGGGGTAGAGCTGAACGACCTAAAAGGCAGCCAGCCGTCCCCTGCCCTGTCACACTCCTACACAAAAGTTATCTGGCCTAAACAGTCAGTAGTTAAGGAAACTGTGCTAGGGTAAACACCCTCTGTGAAGTGGAGAACTCAGTTTACCTACACTGTCTCAGAAGAGCAGAGCAAAGCTAGCAGCAAGGGAAAGGGATGAGGATTGTAGACTGACAATTTGAATCTGTGGGCCAACCTTATTCCTGCAAGAGACAATCCATGAATGAGTGGGTTGGAAAGCCAATACGAGCTACAATTCCCAGAGTTTGTTTTCCTATTTCATCAGACACATTCTCTGAGCAGTCAAATCAGGTACTAACCCAGCTGTGCCCACAGAGGATTATATGGATGTGTTTTGGCCAGCGTGTTCACTGACTGAGAGGTGCGCTTCTCTGACAAAGCTTTAATGGGAGGGTGGTCAACAGGCATGACAGTCGGTACCCAGGCCAGGTGGTAGGTCAACACCGCAGTCAGTAAGGCAGCAAAAAACCTTGGAAAAATGGACAGAAGCAAACCCAGATTAGTCAAATACAGTCAAAGGCAAAGGCTTGTCTCGCACAGAACACACCTTGACTCGGGATTGGCCCACAGCCTCAGGAGGGCTACGCTTACTGGTTTTTGTTGACTTGTTCAATCAGAAGTATAAACTCCTTGAGAAAGCGCTGGCAGAGATGGTTTTTTTCCAAGGTGTTGGACATCATGGTAAGCCAGACTGGTTCGGCTATCCTTGGAACAGAATATAAGTTCCAGATAGTCCCTCTACAGGAGAGAGAGGAGGCAAGCAGTCATAAATAGTTATTCTGGGTATCTTAGTATATCAAAGAACAAAGCTGAACACTGTCATTTGGATCTATGTACTCCTTAAGGAATCCAAAAACATATTAACACAGGTTGGCCAACTATGACTCACACAAATATTATTGCTATCATTTTTATAAAGTCTCATTAGGACACAGTCATGCTCATTTATTTATATAAGATCTGTGATTGCTTCTGCTGGACAACAGTAAAGTCATGTGGCAGTTCAGAAACCCTTAAGAGAAAAAGCATACCCTCCCTAACATAACACCATTCATTCAGAAACAATTTATGGGGTGTAGCTCAGTGACACAATGCTTGCCTACTATGTACATGGCTCTGGGCTTGCTCCAAACACCATACAAAAAAAGAATACAAAGAGGTTTACAAGTTCATATAATGTCCTTTTTCAGAATTCATAATCATTTTTAAAACTTATTTTTAAATCTATATATTAAAATTTGAGAACTGTACAAATTCGTAGGGCATCATACAGTCATTTTTATATGCTAGTTATTTTGCTTTTGTGGTAATGAGAATCAAATCCTGTTTTTTTTTTTTTTTGTTTTGTTTTGTTTTGTATACTGGACAAGCACTCTATCACTGGGTGACATTCCCAGCTCCACAGTATTGTTATGATAAAGAAATACAGATCAAGAACTGACCAGCACTTAAGAGACAGAGGCAGGAGAACTATGCGTGTGAGGCAGCCACAGCTGCATAGCTGTATCTAGAATAAGGTGGGGCAGGGATGGGGTCACAAAAAGATATGCAGGACAGAGAAAGCACATGCTGTGTTGAAAACGAGATTGCTCGGCAACTCAGCTCTGCTGGTTTCTAGTTCATGTGCTGCCTCTCTAAATCCAACACCAATTTGTTTTAGATGAGGAACCACACAATGGGTCTTCCAATGTGCCAGTTTCTGATGCAGAGGCTTAGAGGCTTGGGAAATGTGCAAAAGATATGGACATACTTAACAGCAAGCTGAGGACGGGGACTCAGGCATGGCATGCTCTGTTTTAAGCTCTATGGAACACATGTGTTTTTCCAGGATGTAAAAACTTACTCAGGCCCTCCACTGAGTAAAAAGGAAATTTAGCCCTGAATGAATAACACAGATCTGTCTCTCCAAATCAAGACTGAGCAGGGCAGACACACTCACACTAGACTATGTAGCTGTATGCCTAAAGGAATCAAGACAGAACACAAATCTGCCTTAGCAAAAGCAAAAAACTAAAAACCTTCAGATTTCAAAAAAATAGCATCTGCTGAGTTAAGAAGCTGTGACGCCACGACTGGACTGGATGCAGTGATCAACAGACGTTGGGTGCCAGCCCCAGTGGATACACGCACGTCACAGCTCTCCGTGAGCGTCATGGAAGAAGGGGTGGAAAGAGTGCAAGAGCGTGAATACCATATGGCCTGCAGTAAAATAGTCTATTCCAGAAATGGCTGCATAAACAACATCACTATAGAACAATGGCACTATACATGGACATAGTAACGATGAAGAGAAAAATTTTCAGGGTCCCACCTCTAAACTTAAGAACTACAGGCAACTAATGACCACTGGGAGAAGGAGAATTAGCCTCTTATTGTCCAGCGCAGAGCAGACATCCATGAAAGTGTTGCACAAAAACAAACACCAATAAGCTCTATTTACACATTTGTGCATATACCTACAATACATATACGTATGTAACAATAGCCTAAAAACTTAACAGTGCAGGGGTGAGGAAAAGGCAAAACAGATCTTAAAAAGAATAGTGGCAGTGTAGATGATTATAGTAGCATAATCTCAACTTTACCTACAAAATTCATGTCTCAGCTGGGCATGGTGGCACGCATCTTTAATCCTAGCATTTGAGAGGCAGAGGCAGGTGGATCTCTCTGAGTTCAAGGCCAGCCTGGTCGACAGTGAGTTCCAGGACAGCCAGAGGTATATTTGGAGAATGTGTCTCAAACACAAACACAAACACACACACATACAAACAAGGCAAAAGAACCCAAAACTCATGTCTCGAGTATTAGTACATTACTTTATCTGTTTCTGGAAGGAATCACTGTCAAAATAAGTGTGAAACTCTTCTACGTACACAATCTGTTTTTGTTTTTTTTTTCTTCAGGTTTTCACCCCTGAAAGATTAGTATTTTGATTAGAGTAGCATCAGATTAGCACCAGACTCTCAAGCACAAGCCAGCTTTGAGTGTGACCTCAGCACAACTACATTCAAATCCAGCTGCCCTCAGAGGAGACAGCATCGCCTTCACAGCATTTCTCCAATGAAACAGTTAGACAGTTCTTTATCTATAGCCAGAGTTCAGAAATGTGATGATTTTGTTTCAAGTAGCATTGAGTGCTAACATTCTAGGAACTGCATTTTTTTTTAAAACTCCCAGCTATTTGGCTCATTTACTCATGACTGCTCTGCAGTGAGAGTCCATTCTCTGTTAAGAGACACTCAGATGAGCACAGTGAGGAAAAAATCTCATCCGCTACCTGGAGCGAATCACCCTGCTCCCCCAACACTGTAGCAAGGAGCAGGAGATCATTAAGAAACAGCACCCAACAACCAGAGATCAGTGAGACACTGCACACAGTGTCAGAGAAGGAGGATCTGACAATTCACAGGTACCGTGGGCAGTATACGTGCACCAGACATGCTCTGGCAAATGAGAGCTAGGCCTTCGTGACATCACACATTTTCTCCATTCGCTCTAGGGTACAAACAGCACCCTCGCACCCAAGCTTTGCCTTCGGAGTTGTGGGAAGACAGACACAGGATCATAGCAAGAATTATAAGACATCTTTAAAATTAGTCTTCAGTTCATTCTGATGAAAACAATCCCATTAAGATGGATGGGGTAATGCACACCTTCGCCCCAGCACTCAGGAAGCAGAGGCAGGTGAATGTCTATGAGTTTGAGGACAGCTACGTCTAATAGGCAGTTCCAGGCCAGCCAGTCCTACATCTCAAAATAAACACAAAACAAAACACTCCCGCACCCACAGCACAACAAGCAAAAGACCTAACCCCATTAAAAGGGGCAGGCACAGTGAGCGTTACCCAAACGTTTGGCTTGTTCTCATGGGTAGGGACTCTAAGATAACTAAACATTGCCAGTCCTAATTCTTCTAAGAGACAGCCTCATGGCAGCTAGTCATATTACTGCTCATAATTCCTATTGGGTTTTCCAACCTTTAACTTTACCTGAATTCTCCCAGTGCCTCCATCAGACGGCTCACATAAAACTGGACTCGGAGACTTGATTCTGCAATCTTCCTACAGGAGATCATGGCCTTCATGGAAGAGAGTGAGCCAAATTACTCTCTAAGAAGAAATTCCTTTATAGCTGATATACTGGGGTTCACTAATGAACAATGGTGTTATAATACACTTCAAATGCTGAAAGTAATGACGCTTTCCCTCATCAAAAAACACTAACTTCCTTCCCTACAGCAACCAGTGTCTGGTCTGTAGCCTTAAAAATCCTAGGGATCATCTCCAGGGCACATTTTGACTTCCTTATGCAGGCCATCTGACACAAAGACATGGGATGTTTTTGGCTGCAAATCTCTCCCCTATTTTCCATTAGGTTGCAATTCTATCACCTTTCATTTTCCTATTTAGGTGTTTGCTTGGGATGGATCCCAGGGCCTTGTACCTGCCGTGTAAATACTCTGCCACTCTCCCCATCCCTTACCTTTTCAATTGCACTCTTCAGCCTGTTCATGTGAGACTCAAACAAGGGGAAATGGGAGAAGAAGAAGTCCTGGAAATCCTGCTGAGCTGCCTCTCTCTCACACAAGGAAAAGATGATGCTGATAGCAATTTTCTTCCTTCTGACTATGGCTGGATTAGAGCTACAGGTTTCTTCAGCCAAGCTAAATGTCTCATCAGTTGACCTGGAGGAAAAGGAAGTTTGAAAAGTAGCCGTGCATAAGTGATAAGTGAGTCACTGAAGGTAAGCTGTCTTGCCACGAGATGACACCCAGGAAGCTAGTGCAGAATATCGAGAAGCTCACTGGTCCTTTGTCCACCTCAAACTCACTCTCTTCTCAGTCCTTTATCATGAAAACTGAGAGAAAATCCACTTACCCATATATTATCATCTTACCATAAAGGAAGCTCAAATGAAAGACAAAATTAGTTCAAATGTTTGACTCTCATCCTTTTGATTGTATTTAGGAGTGTGAGACACCAGTTCAATCAAACCACAGGTTCTAGCTAGAGATGCTCAGAAGGTAAAAGCCCTGGCTATGCAAGCCTGGCCACCTGAGTTCCACCCCTGACACTCAGAGGAGAGGCTGGATGTGTCAGCACACACCTGCCACCCCAGCATTCCCACTGTGAGATGAGAGGCAGGGACAGAGGAATTGGTGCTGGGACACTCACAGGCCTGCTAGCCCAGAGTACAACCTACACGAGAAACAAGGGAAACCCCGCCTCAACAGGGATGAAGGCGAGACCTGACTCCTAAGAGTTGCCCTCTGATGTCCACAAGTGCTCTCTGGCACATGTGAGGCCTAGAATGTAAAACAAACAAATGAAACATAGGCCCTTGTTGTTTGACCAGAGATAAGAATAGATGGGAGGCTGAGAAGACAGGGCCTGTGGAGCACTCTGTTTACACAGACATCTTGCTTCAACGCTCCCTGGCACCTTCCCCAAGGCTATTAGAACCAGCAGATGAAGTTACTCCACTAAATGCTTGCATGAAGCCAGCGATCAACTGAGCACTCTGGAAAATCCGCTAGGTAGAAAGGCTCAACTCTCTTCTGCTATAGTCAAATTCTCAAAGAACTGATGATCCTTTTGAGGGGCTCTGCTTCTGTAATAAAAGAACCACAGCGCCAATAAATTCTTACTATAGATCCAATTTGTCTTAGGGATGATACAATTATGGTTTAACCGTGACCCTCATTTAAATTTTGTGGGGCGGCCACGGAGCTACCACATAGTTACTAACAGCAAGAGTTGGGGGCAGGTGAAAAAGAAAAAGAATTTGTTTTGTTGTACACCAAAGGCCAGAGTATACTACAAATGAGTGTAACGAGCCTGCCACACAGCTCTTATGATGCAGCACTTATTCTCTTTGTCACCAGCTACACCATTTCTAGGGCTCTACTCACAGTCTATTAAACCCTGTAAGTTTTAAACAGTATCTGGATTTTACTGACATACATGCATCTGAAGCTGCATGGTTAGGAAAACTATGTTTAAAAGAAAGGAGATGAGCACTTTGCTCTAGGCTCTGGGGCATGTTTCTGCTTTCTTTAACATCCCTCAAGATCTGGGAAGAGGCTATGAGTGACAAGGCAGCTCCTGATCTGCAGTTGCCACGTAAATGCACCACGTATCCTTAAAACCCACCAACTTTTGTCTCTGAGAAACCTCCAGCTCCCAATGATGAGGAAAGGCTTTGAGAATCACGCGGACTGTCACAAATGTTCGCACAGGAAGTGACCTGATATTTAAAAAAGGCTCCTGTGTTAAAAGTCCCTGTTTCTGTGTACTAGTTTATTTCTGTTCTGCCTATAAAACGTCCAGCCAGGTGTGGTGGTGTACATCTGTATTCCACCACTCAAGAGGCTGAGGTAGTCAGACTGATAAGGTAGGTTTGAACTTAAGTTCAAGGATAGGTTAGGATAGTGAGATCTTGTTTCAAAAAGGAAAAAAAAATAATAACAAGAAAATATTCTGAGGTATAGTAGGAAAGTTGCCTCTTTGCTGGACATTCTATTTCTATTCTTTCTCAAAAGTAAACCACCTGTATCATTCCATTCCTCCCAGCCAAGGTGGCCTTTTACGCTTAAACTATGCCCAAATTAGGTCTATTGTATTCATCTATACCTCTACCCTCTAAACAATAGTCAATTCCGCTATCAGTTTTAGCATAGTAGAGAGTGCCACCTGCTGAATCGCTGTAAAACTTTCCTCACTGAACAGAGACTAGATCTTGCTAGCTTTACTACACATCTCTCCTAACCCCTAAAGCTGCTGCTCTTCATTCCGAAGTCCTGGATCAACTATCCACACTTAAACAAATCAGGCCAGAGTATCCTAATTATCTTTTAAGTATAATTCCACAAAGAGAATCCTTGAGAATGTTTCAAATTATATAGCCAGATACTTTTCCACACTATCCATGTCTGCAGGTGAGCTGCACAGCTGTTGTGAGGACAGAAACTGAGGCAGTGCTTGCCTGAGGAACAGAAAGCTCCCTGGGAACGCTGCTGCAGTTATAACCCAGGATGCGCCTTTGCCGATCCAGGCTCTTGGATGTCAGAGTGGACAGATGCTCCCCCTGCCTGAGCCACCAGCTCAAGCTCGTGCTGTTAGAGGCTCTGTGACACATGCAGTGCCACAGGGAAGACTTGGAAGCACTCAGATCAGCCAATGGGTTTCAAGCTACACACACACCAAACAAACAACAAACAACAAAACAAAAACACAAAACCATGGCTGCACACTTAGATCTTTTCCATATAGAGACATAAAAAAAAAAAAAAAAAGAGGTATGTTGGTCCATACTATTAAGCCTAGCACCTGGGAGAGAGGCAGGAGGACCATGAGTTCAAGGCTATTGTGGGCTACAGAGTTAGAACTTATCTCAAAAACCAAACATCCCAAATTATGTTTTGTTATACTTAAGAATGTATTAATATATGTAAGTACCTCAAAGTGATAATCATTTAAAGTAAAAACTATCATCATTTTAGTACATATGGATAAACTATAATTGATGTCAGGGCTGCTTAGCACAATTATTGTTGAGGTCAGATTTGAACTTACTCTGAACCTATGGGGATCAAACTCTGGTCATCGAGCTTGGCAGCAGGTGCCTTTAGCCACAGAGCCATCTTGAGAGCCCAAGTTTTGCTTTTGTGAGACAGGATCTGGCTGTGTGTAGCCCAGGTTGGCCTAAGTCAATTTCCCATGGGTTAGTATTATATATAGACACTAACAATGTTTTATTTGCCATATACTAAACCCCATCAGACCACTTGACTTGCTTATCTAATTTTACCCTCCTGATAACAGCAAAGCTGGACCTGTCACTCTGCTAAGGCACATGAGAAGAAGCCTGTGGAACCTGGGATATGCTGTAGCACATGCCTGGTGAGGGCAGAGCTGGGACCTGTCCTCCTCTCATCTCTCATCTTGAGGTCCCTCACCAAAGAACAGCAGCTTGGTGAAGGATCCGCTGTAACCTTTCATTGCTTAGCTCATCTTTCTGTGCAGCTCCTCATCAGACCCCTGTGCTTCACCCTCCTCCGTCACGGCATCTATCATGACTGATCTTTCCTCAATCTGTTTGCTGTCATCTTCGCTACAGGTCATAAACTATTTCAGCACAAGCATATGGCTGAGCCATCTTCACAGTCTCAATTAGTACATTAAATTGGTACAGTGATTACTAGGCAATTTATAAACTCAAATGACACAAATATTTTAGTGATATATGAAAACTCCCTTTAAATTTTTTGAGCTATAAAAAAAGGGGGGGCCTAGAAATAGCATCAAATGTATACTTTTGGACACAACTGAATAAACTTCAGATTAAAAAACAAAGCGAAATGAAGGTAGAAAATAACTTTGAGGCTATCTCTATGTATACCAATATTCATGCCTGCTTAGTTTAAGAATTAAAGTGCCACAAACGAACTATGCCTCAAGTATCATACTGGAATCACTGTAACCAGGGAATAGATTTATCCCAACCTTTCTTACTTACAGAGCCACATCTGGAAGGAACCAGGCTTGAGGAGAGAGCATATTTACCTCGAGTTACCACCTGATCTAGCACATACAATGCCCTGCTATCCAGCCATTTCCAGTATTGTCTAACTAAGAATATGGGGTTTCAGCTGGGCACAGTGTCAACGTGTTCACGATCCTATCACTTAAGAAGCAGAAGCAAAGGATGATGAGCAAGTCTTGTCTGGGCTACCTGTTGTATCCCAGGCCAGCCTGCCTAGTTTTAATTTACTATCTCAATAATTCAACTTGCAAGTTTACAATAATGTAAACTTGCAGGCTAAGCTGGAGCTAATCACAGGTTTCAGGTCTTCTGCCCCTGACAACAGGCAAGGATAACCCTGCCAGGTTCCGTAAGCTGTTTACACTAGCATTTCCTTAGCCAGAGGAAACATGTAACTCACCTCCGTGGAAAGATGCCATTTTCCAAGCTCGTTGTCTGGCTTCGAAGCCAGCGGCGCTGGTAACTGCTGGAAGAGGACGTCGAGGAGCTGGGAGACGGGAAGGGCGTGATCAGAAGGCTGCTCAGTGAAGCTGCAAGGAAGCACATTTCAAATGTCAGAGTCTAGCTTGAGTCCTCACAATGCACACACTGTAATGCACGAACAAATGTGCTCACTGCCACGGAGCTGTACATTTACGATGGATTCCACAGAGCCTGGGGGCTGCCCAGGATCCACAGAAAAACCTAGGCTGGCTAGTGTCCACTTGTGATTCTGGCAATGGGGAGGAAGAGACAGGAGAACCCTTGGAGTTCACTGGCCAGCCATTCTAGCAAAATCAGAAAAGTCCACCTCCTAGGAAGAGACCTTACCTCAGAAAGAAAACAGAACCCAAGGTGTCAAACTCACACAAACTCATGTAGAACATGCTTCTACATCTGCACACACGTGTTCCTTCGCCCCCCCCCCCCCACATACCCCAACAAGTGAAGAGATAGATTTAGACAGACAGACAGATAGATTATATACCAGGCAAGATGATAAAATACTAAAGGTTCAGAGGCAGGAGGATCTTGAGTTCTAGGCCAGCTAAGCTATGTAATTTCAAGTCCCAGGGCTAGCCTGAGCTACATAATCTCTCTAAAGTCAACCACCAGAAAGTAAAATTGGGAAATTTTATATAATATATATCTCAACACTACAAACACACACACACATACACAAACACACACACCCTAAATTTTTGGATTCTACTAATCATATCCAGCAGGTGGAGACTAAAATTTCTGTAGGTAAAGGGAGGGGACCCACAATTTTGGGCACTGTATCTGCTGCTATGAAGTCCAAACTGCCCTTGAACCGTCAGGCCCCCTCCTCAACCTCCCCAGTGCTGTGATTACAGATGTACACCACCATCTGTACGGAGGAAACAAGAGTCCTAGCCTAGCCACACTTAGCCACATGGATTCCTAACCCACAGGTGGGATGAATGCATCCATGCTCAGGCTCCCCGTTACTCACACAGAAGGAATCAGGGCTCCTTCCCTTGGAGCACGCACTGCAGATGTCCAGGAACACTGTCCATGGGGATCACTCAACCAGCATCCCAGAGATGCCTGCGTGCCTGCTGCCTTCGGCCTACTTCTTCACTCTCTATTTGGAGGTAAAACTTCGGCAAAGTAACCAATTTATCCACATGAGTTTCCTCCTCTTCTGATCCTCTTTTTTCATTCTTTTTATTTGTTTGTTTTGTTTTGCTTGAGACAAGGTCTATATAACCCTGTTATCCTGGAACTCACTATGTGCACCAGGCTGGCCTCAGACTCACAGAGATCCACCTGTCTGTGCCTCCCTAGTACTAGATTAAAGGCATGTGCCACCACGCCCAACCTCTGAACCTCATTTTCGAATACAGAAAATTAATTTAATAAACAAGATTATAGTCAACACATTTTGGCTACTAAACCACAAAATGACTTTAAAATTTTAGAAGGTCCCCTAAGCTGTGCTTGGTGTCACCAACACCAAGCTATTTAGGAGGCTGGACTACCCAAAGTTAAGGCCTGTCTCAAAGTTAAAAGGTGAAGAGGGGGCTGAGAATATGGTTTAGCAGCACAAAGCTTGGCTAATGTGGGCAAGGCCTACATCACTGTAAAACGAGAAAGTCTTCAAAAGCACTGTGTATGTTTTAACATTCCTAGAAAAGGCCCTTGGATAAAAATATCAAAAGTTTCTGAACCAGCTAGGGCATACAACCCTATACTAGCTTCACGGATAAGTCACACACTACAAATTGACAGCCCATGCTGATTCTAGGCCCTGTGCACATCTTACAGTTGTATCGCTTGGTCTTTGTGTGGGACTCCTAACAGTGCGAGCAGGGGCTGTCTCTGACTCTGTTGCCTGCCTCTGGGACCCTTTCCTTTTACTGGAGTTGCCTCATCTAGCCTCAATAGGAGAGGAGGAAACTAGTTTTACTGCAACTGATATGCCATGGCTGGTTGATATCTACAGGAGGCCTCCCCTTTCCTGAACAGAGGGTGGGAGGGGGTAAGGAAGGAGGTGGGGTGAGGGACTGGAAGGAGAAAAGGACTGCAGAAAACTGTTTAAAAAGTTTATATATATATATATAGTATGTATGTATATACGTATATATGGATGCATGCATGCATGTATATATGAATCCCAGCATTAAGGAAGCAGAGGAAGGTGGATGTCTATGAGTCTGTGTCAGCCTACTCTACATAGTGAATTCCAGGACAGCCAGGGCTACGTAGAGAAACCCTATTTCAAGGGAAAAAAACAAAACAAAACAAAAAAGCCACAATTTACGTTTGCTTACAGACTTTACCCTATCCCAACAATTTTTTTCTAATCTCACAAGAAAGTTCCTTGATGGTGAAAGGATTATGTCCAACCTCCTTGTGCAACCCTAGTGGTCCCTGGCTACCTCGTTAGAGTATAATTCTACCACAGTATATCTGGAACCATCTTGTACTCTCACTTATCAGAAAGGGGAAGGGGCACAGGAATAGTTTACCAGTCTTCTAAGATGTAACCTGATAGCCATCAAAACAGACAGCTAAGGCTAAGATACTCACCTATAACCCCCCTTGAGAAGGTCACACTCATACAGTGGTCTTACTTTCTTCCCAGGGCTTCTTTCACTTAACCCCTGTTCTTAGAATCTCTATTAAAAATGTCACTTAATAAGTTCCATCTCTTGCTTCATACTGGTTTTCTCTGTAATTCTTCTCTGTGTTGAAGCCACACATTCTGTGTTTGCCTGAGTCAAGGTCCCCAAAGGAGTATGGGAACTCCTCAGGCTGCTATGGGTTACAGTGTGGAACTGTGACTCTGTGTCACTACTAACAAAGTTATCCGACCACTGAGTACCTGTGATCCAGTCTGAGCTCTAAGAATGAAGAGTCTGTTAAAGAGCTATAAGTAGTCTAAAACTAGTCCTTTCTTCTTTGACATAAATAAAACTTTGACATAAATAAAAATGGGTCTGGCTTTGCAGGATATTTTTAATTCAAATTATACTGGATTTATGGATTGATTTGTATGACTTGCTCTCACTCAATCTGACTGTTTCAGTAATTTCTAACCTTTCCTGTTATTTCTAAAAATCCCTTACAGTTTTAATTACTATTTATATTACATTTTAAATTCTATTTTTTTCTTAAACGAGTATCTAAAAACACGATCATAGAGGGAAAAGCTAAAGGAGGGTGAGGAAAAACTCAATTGGTATAGTGTTTCCCAGGCAAATACAAGTGTGATGACCTGAGTTCCATTTCCAGCACCAACAAAGGGCAGCAGTGCAGTATATATACTGACTTCTCAGATGGATGCTTGGCCACTGGCAGCCTTGAAGCCTTAACCCCACTCTCTGTCCTCATGTTCCTCACCCAACCCCCACTGTCACCTCTTGTTCCTCACTGCCACCTTCTCTCCCCTCTTGCTCCTCAACCTTGTGTCCCCTCTTCTTTCTCCTCCTTTCTCTCCCTCTTGCTCTGCACCCCCACTTCTCTTTCTTCTTGCTCTTCACCCCTACCCACCCTGACCCCTCTAGCTCCTAACACCCCCTGGCTTCTGTCCCCTCCTACTCCTTACCTAGAAAAGCTGATGAGCTCTGGTGCCAGTGGGAAGGTCTAATCTCATACAGGAGCTCTTAGCTCAGTTTGCCACAGACCCCAAGCTGGTCTTCCCTCCCTCTTCTGGCCAGCTTGAGAAGCTGAAGAAAACCCCTTTCTTCCTTTGAAGTGTGCATGTGAGGTCGTTCATTTATTTAAATGAACACTGAGTATCAGAGTAAATGCATCCTGCTTCTGCAGCCACGCTGAACACTTGGATACTGTCTGCTCTTACTTTGAAGGCTCATTTGCACATGAATCAAAAAGAAGTATCTGAAAGTATTGCCAGTTTTCCTCATACTGCGTGCTTTATGGACTGAGGAAATGTAGTTACAGGGAGGATGAGAAAGTTATCTTTCTTGCTGGATGAGGAAGACAGACTGCTAATAAACCAGCCTGAAGAGACTGGCCTCAACCCCAGCCTATAAATCTTACTTACACTGCTCACTACATGTGTACGCAAGACCTCCAGATTTCGGATGGTCTGAGCCATCCCTGCCAAGCCAACTTCTTGTTATCAATACAGCAGATGATTCACAACTGGAGAATTTGGGCATAGTTCTAGTAAAAAACAAAACAAAACAAAAGAGCCCAACAACACAAATTTGTCTCCCTTGCTGGCCTCATGCTTGCCCTACACAGTTTAACGCTATCTTCCTCTGTTTACTTATCAGGTCAGGAACCATGAGCTCTGCATGGTTCCGCCCTCCTCCCTCCTGACCCATGTGCCATTGGTCGCCACTACAAATGCTGCTCCCCTAAGCCTGCACCAGCGTCCTCTTCTCTCCAAGGCCTTTCTTGAGTTTCTCTTTATTCATGTGTGTGTTCACCGCCGAGTATGCCAGGCCAGCTGGCTCACGTGTGTCTGAGGATTCTCCTGTCTCCACCAACCATTTCACCATAGGGGCACTGAGATTCTGGGTGAGTACCACCATGTCCACATCCATGTGGACTGCATGAATCAGGTCTTCAACCTTATGCAGTAAGCACTTCACAGAACAACCCATCTCACTAGCCCCCTTACTTGAAAATTTCTAATAGCAACCATTGTAAGCAACCTCTTAAAATTTTTCTTTTTGGTGTAGGCCTGTAATCACAGCAAGGCTGAGGCAGGAGGATCATAAATTCAAGGGCTGTCTGGGCTACAGAGTGAGTTAATATTTTCTAAATTAGCTTTTACTTTGTACAGAAACGCAGAAGACACTTCCAGAACAGCCACAAGAGACCCATGTTGCCCTCCGGAGACAGCCTACGAGCCATGAAAGCCGACTCCAGGGCTGGGACAGCAAACACCAGATGACTCGGGAGAACTCGGTATAGGAACATGGGTGACAGAGCCCCCCTCTCCTGCTGCCCCCTGAGATAACAAAAGAGTGTCACTGGCATCACACGTGCTTCCAGGGGTAAAACCCAATCAACGTAGGCAAACACAAGTATTATCGGGTTATAAACCAAAGTGAAAAATTAATGTCCTTGAGATAATAACCAAGAGTAAGTTAACAAATGAGAAGGAAACACAATGCCCATGTAGGAAATTTCAAGTCATGGATGCAGACTCGTGCACCACAAGGACAGGAGCACATCTCAGGTGAGGGGTAAGGACTGTGTACAAATGTCAAGGGGAATGAGCTTCATAGTGAAAAACCCCAGCAAACACAGCCTCACTGACAAACAATGCCAGTAGCCGTTCTCCTGAATCACATTGCTAGTCCACACCCTTGATACCATGTGAGCACGGATGCTACATTTTTCTGGTTATCCAGCTCAAACCTACAACCACAGTTTAATCATGTGATACTAAAAACTACCATGATTATCAGAAACAAAGAAGGTATGAGGAAGAGAAGTCTGAAGAGCCAGGCATGGTGGAGCACAAGGGAAGGCGGATCTCTGAGTTCAAGGCAAGTGTGGGCTACCGCCTAAGTTCCATAACAGCCAGGACTATGTGGAGAGACCCGGTCTCAAAAACAAAACGTCTAAATAGACACGACAACCAAATATACTGTGTTCTTGGAGCGTAAGAAAACATTAGAGGAAAACTAAGGAAAGCGCTGCAGGATGAAAGCCAGCTAATGACTATGAGTCATTAATTGCCTCAAATGCAAAAACGAAAATCAGACGTTAACACGGCAAACACTCCGTATGGTTGTCCCAACTTTACTGAAAATAATAATTTACTCTAAAGTATAAAAAAATTTTTTAAAGGATTATCTCTTAATTCTAGACAGATTTATCAAAAATTGTGATCTAAAAGAAAATGTCTTTAATTCCTCTACTGACAAAAACTAGAAAGATGGCTCAGGAGTTAAGAGTACCTGCTCTTCCAGAGGACCCAGGTTTAAGTCCCAGTATACACATGGCAGCTCACAATTGCCTGTTAACTCCAGTTCCAGGGGATCCGACACATTCTTCCGGCCTCTGAAGGTACCAGGCATACATTTGATGCATAGACACACATGAAAGCAATATACTCATACACATAAAATAGTAAAATAATTTTTTTTAAAAAACAAAACAACAAACAAGAACCTCTAACACGTCACTCCCTATTTTGCTTCAGAACTGAGATCTCAGGATTTTTTTTTAAAGATTTATTTATTTTTATTTTATGTGTGTAGTTGTTTTGTCTATATGTATGTTTGTGCACTACATTTGTGCCAGTGTCTGTGGAGGCCAGAAGAAGCCTTATGATTCCCCTAGAACCAGAGTTACACACAGTTGAGTCATCATGTGGATGATAAGACTCGAACACCAGTCCTCTGGAAGAAAAGTTATGCTCTTAACTGCTGAGCCATTTCTCTAGCCTAGAATCTTAGGATATAAAGTGGGTAATAAGGAAAATAGTTGTTTTTCCCTTAAATTCACTTTGTAACCTAGGCTGACCTAACATATACAATCTTCCTGCCTCAGTCTACTAGTGGGATCACTGACATACACCATTAGGCTTGGCCCAAGAGGGGAAAAAAATCTTAGAGATTAGAATACTGTAAGAGCCCTAAGAGTCCTGCTAAAAGACCGCCGAGTCGTTCTGCAGGTAGGAATGTGCACTCAACTTAGACTGGGAGATTTGAGTAGCTCCCAGCTGTGAGCAGACAGTATCTCAAGATGGGTATATGCACCAGGACAGCAAGTAGAACAAAATACAACCATACAGGGAAGCGGGGGTGGGGAGGGGAGGGATGGGAGATGACGCTGTCAGCCCTCGCTCATGGGAAACAAACCCACAGGCTAAAAGAAGAGATTCTCAACCCCCCAAAGGAAGTCTTCTCCACCTCTCACAATTCCCATTTGTCAGTCGAAAGTTCCTTCCATGAGCTCTGAGAAAACTATTGGTTCTTGCTGCCACAGATTTATGTATTTAAAGTGAACATGGACCCTCAATTGCCTGCTTTTCAAAAAAAAAAAAAAAACAAGGAAAAGCAGTTACTGAAGCAATTTAAAGTCCAAGGGATATCCAACACATGAGATGCTGACTTGCAAATGAATTAGGAAAATCCAAACTTCATCCTAGTAATGTTTCTGCTGATGTCCATTCTCTCAAAATTTCAGTTTCTTTTTGCAACTCTCTCAAAATTTCAGTTTCTTTTTGCAACAAAAAGGTCCATAAGTAAAAGAAGGCTACATCGGGAGAGAAACGGAGCACTCTGGGGGCTGGCGGACCGCTCATCCTTTCTTCACAGAGGGAAGGGGTGCCTCACAAAGGCAAGCAGAGCAGGCCCCATCTGCCACACATGCAGAACTTCACCCACGGCTCTGTGTACTGGGGGTCATGCTCCTCACTCTCATTCCAGTGATGGATCCTTTCCTCCTTGCTCTGACAATCAAGTGTACCAAGGCCTGCTCCAGTCAGTCCTGCCCACAGGCCAACAGGGCAGAGGCTGAGCCCCAAGATGTTATGCTTTTTAATGGACTCAAAGTCTTTTGAGAACTCTGTGGAACTCAGAACTCAGGGACCCACAGGGAAGGCTGAAACTATCCTGAGCTGTATTAAGTATAAACAAATGCAGTTCACTCACTTAGCTTTTCTTTTTTCTCTCTTTTATTTTTTATTTATTTATTTATTTATTTTTTGAGGCAGGGTCTCAGAATATAATCCTGGGTGGCCTCAAAGTCATAGAGCTAGCCTGCCTCTGCTTCCAGAGGACTGGGATTAAGGGTGTGCGCCATGCTCCACTACATATGATACTGCAGCTGTTCAGATTTTGCTCATACTCAGTGAAAAAGGCACAGGCTTAACAAATGGAAGTTACATTTCTGGGTGGAAGGTCCAAATCCTACCTCACAGAAATGATGGAGAAAACCAAAATGAATCCATTTTAACACATATATAAACAAACAAGGAGATTCAGCAACTACTGTATTTGCTTAGTGACACTGGGAACAGGGCTGAACGGGTGAGTGAAGGCCTCCAACACCACCCAGAAACAACACAGGACCTTTGAGGCAGAATCTGGGGCAACAGCAGGTGAGAAATAGGTAAAGAGACAGGAGGAAGGCGACCAAGGCCTGGCGCTAGCGCCACTCAGCTGATGGGCTTCTGGTAACGGAGTCAAGTGTGACAGGACAACCAGCAGGATGCTCATGGTTCTCACTGGATGGCTGCCTATACAATGCATGTTCATCAGGCAATGCCTACATGACTCCTGGCCCTTGAAACGCGGAACTAACCTCTGATCCGAACCATGAATTAAAAATCAAAAGCAGATTTGTACACAAAAGCAGAAACTGGGGGGGTCTTACAGACAGTATTAGGCAACATTAAGGCTCCAAGTGAGCAGAGAAGGGGGCCTGAGAAACAATCTGGATCAGCATCATAGGATAGAAAGGGCGGGTAAGCCAGCTGGAAGCTCCTCCCACTGTCAGAGGTACACCAACCGCCACAGCCCGGCTCCATCCTCTGAGCAAGCAAATCCCTAATACAACTGCCACCATGAAGTTTCCAGCTGGAAGAAATCCATCAGCATGCACTAGTCTCATGTGAATCTGAATCTGAGTACCAGATAAGACTAGTTTGTGTGCACAATCATTGGTAGAAGGTGAACATCAAGTTTCTGATCCTTAGACACATGACATTTAGAATGCAAAGAAAAGAACTAAAAAAAAAAAAGGTGGTAGGAGAGGGGAAGAAGAAGCGAGAGAGAACTTCCTTCCTATATTCTACTTTTCCACTATGGAGAGACCACCACCCTGCCAGTTCAGCCAGTAAGAGGTGGTACCTGATCGAGCGATGCCGCTATCCCGGTCTTCATTCTGCCCTCTGCTTGGCATATCAACTGGTGTGCTGTGTGCTAAGACAAAGAGACAAGGAAAACGTTACTAGGCTCTCCAAACACAAAGACATTTACAAAATGACTTCAGTAGTTTTTTAATTTCACAGTAGGCTACTGCTATTGACGAATGGCTTAATATATGATAAAGACTAATGTATCACAAAGATAGCAAATTAAATAAAAAAAAAAGATGACAATAAATGAAAAAACAAACTCAACAAGCCATCTGCCTTCATGGTGGAGACTACAGACTCTTCTGAGTGACAGCCAGCTATTAAAAATGACCGTGTACATTAAACCATGGATGCAATTAATACAACCAGCATTCTATCTTAGCCATTTCCCCAGTAATAATAGGATTTAAACAGTACAATGTTTTCAAAATGCTTTATAATTAGTTTCAGTAACAGTTGTTGGCAGCTTAGGAGAGAAATAGCTAAAAACCATTTCATAAATCTAGAAATGTTTATTTATAACACACGTTCTTGGCAGACACAGAAAACATTAACTCTGACAATTTTTTCCCTCCAGTTCTTTCCCCATACATGGCATCATAGTTAATTCAGGAAGAACGCATGTCCTGGCATAAATCTGGAAAAACACTCTCACGTAGCATGTATACCTAGGAGGTTTCAGACTGACTGAGCTGTACATTTACTGGGCTGGAAGGTAGGTGAAAAACTGTTCTAGTAAATTTTACAATGAACAAGAAGTCACTGTTGTGGATGATATCACACTTGCTAGCATTTTGTTTGTTTGTTTAAAAAGTATATAAACATGCTATATTTCTCTAACGAGCTGGGACAGTGGTATCCATTTTGTTAGGTCTCAGACAGTTACAATGCTTAGTATATTTCAGGCTATGAAGAGGCACAGATTGAAATATCCCATTTATTCCTCACAACGTTAGATGTTAGTCATGAAGATTGCCCACCCTTGTTAATCATGCTACAGTGGAGCAGCCTCTGCTGGCAAGGCCAGTTAAATCACAGAAAATATCCAGAATATCAAGATTACTACACCCGTAAGGAACCTACACACTGCATTTAAGTGATCTGAGTAAGTTAATTTGAGAGAGAACTGATTGAGCCCTCCGTGCTCCTGAAAGAGTGACTTAGAAACTCCATGCAAGTAAGGGTGCAGGTGAATAAATGGAAGAAAAGATGCCACAGCAAAGTGAAACAGCTCGCAGCAGCAGAGGAGGCCTGGGAAAATCAGAAGAAATTAATTCTCCTAGAAACTCTAAGGGCTCATTTCACATCAAACTCAGCTCGCATTTGGACCATTAGCAAAGACAGCCACAACAGAGGTTCATGGTTGGAACTTCAAAACAGCATGACTCCAGCTGCATTTGAAACTAGAATCCCCTGCCACGAGAGCCCTTCGGGTTTCTAGAGAAGAATAGATTTTTTTTCTAAGAACCTGCACAGGAGTTTAACGTGGGCCACACTGTGCTCAGCATTCCAGACAAACCTGCAAAGAAAGAAGCGCTCCGGGTGAGGCGGAGCGGCCCTCCTTCCGACAGCCCCTGCAGCAGTTTGCCGCTGCACGCCTGGAGCAGACCTACAGCAGAGCACACAGGGGACGCAGGGCACACACACACACAGATAAACACAGGTTAAAGATAACGCAAGACTAAACAACAAACTCAAATAAAGAAACCACTCCCCCAGCAGCAGCGCCCAGAGAAACTGTTCGCGGGTCTCACTTTACCTAGGTTACTTCCAGTTCGACAGGGACCCAAACTGTTCTGATTTGCGTTCAGTTTTCCAACCTGAGGATCTTGGTTGATATATTCGAAGCTGTCCTGCAGGCTAAATCAAGATGGGAAAGGAAGGGGGAAAACATCAAGAGGTTAACAAATTTGCTTTTTAGTAGATTCTTAACTACAGACAACAACTGATCAATCACTCAGAATTTTGCTGTATAAGTAACTAAAGTTTCACATCTACCAAGGGCAGTTAAGATGGTGGGTTGGAAGAAATCTGTTGGAAGAAAATAAAAATGTTTTGGAAGTGGCCAATGCACACAACTACCCACACAACAGCATTCTTAACCACTTAAAGTCTGAAATGAGACAGCAACCTCGAAGGGTGTCAGAAACAGACACCTCAGATCTTGATGTTCATTTCACAGAGTTTTGATAAGCACTCAAAATGAATTAATTTTAAGTCTTGGCTGATATCTATTAATAATCTAGCACCACCTGGTGGTGGTGCATGCATTTAATTCCAGCACTCAGGATGCAGAGGCAGGAAGATTTCTGTGAGTTCAAGGCCAATTTGGTCTACAGAGTGAGTTTCAGGATAGTCATGGCTGCACCAACCAACCAACCAAACAAACAAACAAAAAAAAAACCCTGTCTCGAAAAACCAAAATAATAATAATAATAATAATTTAGCAACTAGTTTCAGGGGTAAGACATATCAGAAATTATAATTCACTTTAAGAAAATTAGAATTTCTTATAAAATGAGTGGAGATTTAAAAAATATTAATTTAGCAAGATGCTAAGTATACACATGCTCTGAAAATAACACAGCACAATAAGAAATAACTTTTATTTAAATCTGAGCTCAATATTTTTTATAGAGAGTTAGTGGGGTAAACAAATGTTTAGGTTATGCCAAAGATATGAAAAAAAAAAAATCCTCATAAAAACAAGTATCAGCCTTCCAGAAGGCATACTGGAACAACAACCCAGCCACACAGAGTTCCATGCTAGCTTAAGCTATATAATGAGTTCAAGGCCACACTGGGCCTCTAGTATGAGACCCTTTATCAAAAAACAAGCAACAGTCCCATTGTGGTGGCACATGCCTTCAGTACCAGCACTCGGGAGGCAGAGGCAAAGGCAGGTGGATCTCTGAGTTCAAGGACGGCTTGGTCTACAGATTGAGTTCCAGGTCAGCCAGGGCTACTCAGAGAAAGCCTGGCTCAAACAACAAAAACAACGACAAAACAAAAACCAAACAAACAAAAAACAGTACACCAAGCATCTGTTTAAAAGTTCAAAATGTATAAAGAAATGTTCCTGACAGGCGCTTAAGAATTTCAGTATTCTAGTTATAGAAAGTATAAAAGAGGGGAGGATATGTATAAACTAAAGGCCTGACCACTCCAGGGTACGGCTGAGGGAAAGGTTTTTAATGTGAATATGAGGGACAGTACAGTCAATGCATCTGGAAGAGTCCAGAGCAGAGACTGAACATGGTCAGCAGACTGAACGGGGCCATAAGACAGGGGAGAGTGAGAGAGAGGAAGACAAGAAAGAAAGAGAGAGAGAAAGACAGAGCGAAGGAGAGAGAGAGAGCACATAGCCAAAATACCAGGGATATAAGAAGAATGAAAAGCTGGTAGAGGGAAGCTTCTGAGATGGAGAAGTTTAGGGTAAGGCAGGAGTGAAAAGAGCCAGATACTTATGGTACCAAGGGAGCCTGGAGGCCAGCATACACGTTGGTATGCTAACGGGCACTGCAGATATCCCTTCTGACAGTGATAAGAAAATGGCTCCTTTGGTAAAGGGGAATGGCACCGGAATTTGGGGAAGTGGGATTTCCTTTAGAACTGAGGAGGTGGGGGACTGGATGGACATGATGGATGGGACCAGGTGGGAAAATAAAAAGACCCCATGGCCCAACTACCTGTCAGGCATAAAGGCTAACCTAACTGCACAACACAGATGGCTTCCTGCCCCATCGCTTGGAGAAGGTATACTACTTTGCTCTTTCTGAGGTAAGTAATTAAGGTAGGAGTAGTGGCTCACACTGCAATCAGTCAGTATTCAGGAGGCTGAGACAGGAGAATTACGATGAACCTGAGGAGAGGCTGTGATAGACCCTGTCTCTCCATTCTCCACTCCCATCCACTCCCCAACCCCCCAAAACACCAAGGCAGTCTTGACCTCTTTCCTCCATTTATATTTTCCTGAGAATTAAACCTTGGTGACTGGCAATAAGAACAAAGGGAACAGCAGATGGATATCCAAAACAAAAGAGTCACTTAATGGTTGGGGACATGAGCCCTGGGTTCACTCTCTAGCACCCTACAATTGAGTGTGGTGGCACAGACTTGTCACCCCAGTACTTTGGAGGAGAGGCAGAACAATCAGGAATCCAATGCCAACCTCAGCTACAGAGCAAGTTCCAATGGAGCTCATGGCCAGCCTGGAATAATGAGACATTTTCCCAAGAACAGACAGACGAAGTCGTCTGTCTTTTGGGCCACTTGAGAAAGTCCAAAGGTTTTTCACTTGCTATTATTGGAAAATAAGTCAAACCCCTTTGTAAATCTGTACTTATCTTGCTATTTCTTTAAAATGTCTTATAACCCTCAAGGATAATCTAAAAACAAACACAAAACATACGAAAAGGGTGCAAAATCCCACACTTACTTATTTGTACTTCCACAGAAGCTACCCATTCTAGCAGAAAAGACTTTACTAATCATCAGTTGTGGAGGAGAACTGAAAGAAACAAGAGGGGAGACATTGACTTTGTAACGTCAGAAGGCAGCACCAGCATTCCTGTTGTCAGCCACAGCGGACGGGCAGCCTCACCGGATGGAGTGTATCTTCAGGGTGGAGCCTTTGTAGCTCATTGCCACAGAACCGAACATCATTTCCCCGAGCATGTTCACATCAGATGCTGGTCTCGTGTACTGCGTGCGCACAAGAAAACACCACGTGAAGCAATGCAATAGAAAACACTGTCTGCTAATCTCTTGGTCTCTGGTTGAGTATCTTAAAGCTACAGCTGCCCATCTTACAACTATCTAGACAGTGATCACCTGTTATTTCACAAATATTACTAGTTTTTAAAACTACCTCTTTATACATAATATGCTCAAGCAAAAAAGGCTACCATCTCCATTTATAAATTCTAACTATGAAGGAAACAGGATACCTCTTCCTTGGGTAATAAGCAGATCCTGCCAAGAAACACAGTTTACTGTTACCCAACTAAATAACTACTAGTTGTGGTCATTTGAATGGGAGTGTTCCGCATAACCTCAGATGTCTGAGCACTTGGTCACCAGTTGGTGTCTGGGTAAGTCTGGAAGGTGTGGCCTTGCTCGGGAAACTGTGTCATTGGGGGAAGGCTTTGAGATGTAGAGATTCCTGTCATTTCCAGTTTGTTCTCTGCAGGACACTGGTGTTCGTGTGGGGGGCCCTCAACCCACAGACTGAGACCACCACCTTAGAGACTGTACTCAGCCACGCTGATACTCTTAGGGACAAAACAAAAAAGAGAGTGAAACAAGCTAGTGTGCAATAGGCACACAAGCATAGCCAGCCTGCGAGTGTGCTCAAAGAAAAGTGAAGGAGTCTTCCTCAACACGCTTTCTTGAAACTTCCCAGTGTTTTAAACTCCAATATATGCCCATCTAAGTATGAACTCGCTGGCTTGCACTAATGCTCACACTAACGCACACAGGCACACACATACATGCGCACACACCCTGCTTCTGCACGACCAAAGAGGAAGGGGAAAGATAAACATGTGGGTCCTGCTAATATGGCCACACTCATATCAACTTCTTCCCACTCCAGACACAAGCCAACCAAGTTCTCATACTCTCTAATAAAGTCCACCCACACTCTCTTTTATAATCTGCCTTTTCTTGGTAGAAAGACCATGTGTCAACACAGTTTCTCAACTGGCTTTGAACACTATAATAAGACAGATGCACTGCACTAGTCATAAAACTCAAAGCTTACTTGTCTGTGGCTGTGAGTAGACACCCTGACCTGCACCTGTTTGACCAGCAGCAGTAGAGGTAAGATTCTGTTACAGGTTTGAAAAATCGGAGCATGGAAACCAGGTTATTGTGGCACATGCCTGTAATTCCAGCACCAGGCAGACTGAGCCAGAAATATTTGAGATGGGCATGGGTGACATGATGTATTCCATGCCTGCCTGGACTACAGGGGGAGACTGGCTCAAAATTCAAAACAAGCTCAGTGTGGTGCATTTCTGTAATCCCAGAACTTGGGAGGTAGAGGCAGGAGGATCAGGAGTTTGAGGTCATCCTTGGCTACACAGACAAACTCTATTTGAGAACCTGTATCAGAAACAAAACTGACAACAACAAATCAAAACAAAAGCACCCCTCTCCAGATACTCATGCCCACACTTATCAATTGCACAGGCCCATGGCTCTTCTAGAGACAAGTCTTACTTGGTACTTCGGAAGCTGTTCCTTAGCATGCTGTAAAGATCCTCCAGAGCTATGAGAAGAGCTGCTGCTGCTGCTGCTGCTCATACTGCTGCTTTCCTGACAGCACCTGGCTGACGTTTTAACAGGGACATCCTCTGCTTTCTGGGTTAAGAGACACACAGGCAAGGTATCACCATCAAGTGTATCAAGCTTTATCAAGTGGAAATCTGTCAAAACATTCAGGTGCCTGAATTTCACTAAAACCAAAAGCTCTGTCTCATTTTTGTTCATAATGACAAAAGTATCTTTCCTCGAAGTCTGGAATATTTGGGAGAGGAAATGCAGAAAATGGTGGGTGTTTGGGAAGATAAAGACATGATAGATTGAGACAGGGAGATACATGCTACTCTCCGTAAATAATTTAAGAGTTAGTATTTACATTTAGATTTATATTATAAAATCAAAACAAATCCTGGCCCCTCTTCGGCTTTTAGGAAATTTCAGTACTATGAACTCATAACATGGGGAGCTCATGAGAAGAAAGAGGACCACTAACATTCAAACTTTTTACCAACTAAGCTAGACTGGTGGGCTTGTGTCTGTCATATCCTTCCCAGCACTCCTAGTGCAACAGGAAAGAAAACCACTGGGATGAACACGTGACGGAAGAAGGCCAAACCCTGAAACAGGAGCTACTGTGATCCATGGAGCCTGTGACGGAATGCGGTCTTTATAAGTCAGGGGCAACAGAGGACTATCTACTTTATGATCCCTCAGGTGTTCACTGTTAATTTTTACAACAATGACATAAAGGTGTAAAAATACCCTCACCCACCCGAGGACAGAACACTCCCTACAGAAGCAGGCTTCACAAGAAATGGCTTCTGCTCTGAGTCTCTTTGCCTGCTCTCTTTCTGTCCTTCTTATGCAGCTTTTGCAACAGCAGTTTATCTAATCTTCATGGTGACTGTCACCCTGGTGGTCTCATGCACATGCTTGTAGTCACATGCTGGTTCAAACTCATGGTGCTTTGTGCTTATCAAGGGGATGCGGTTGGAGAGGGGCTGAATTGGAAAAGGAATGTAAAGAAAACAAAAAGTGCTGGTCCAGCAGGAGCTCCAGCAATGATGGAATCTGAAGTTGCACAAGGTTAATCCTGAGCATCCTGCATTCCCTCAACACGCTCTTTAGCTCCAGCTGTTACTTAATACCACTTAAGCCAGAAACAGCCTCCCAGGGGGCTGAGAGCTGGTGACAGGAATTCCCACCTCCTGACTGCAGGAGTCAGGTGCAAGGACTGGTGCTTAGAAACACCACCTGGTACACAGAGTAGGCTATCAACAGGGTTCTCCTGTAGCCCTTGGCAAGCTGCAAAAATGCTCCTGGACCTAAGCTGCCTTTTTAACTAAAGGAGTACCTCAAAGAAAGCCTATGTCAGAGACTATAACATTATCTCTGCTCCGGTATACTGACCCCAGTTCCCTGTGAAATCATTTTTCCCTCCATCTTTGCCACCAGCAGCATCTCTAGTGGTGGAATGAGGATGCTCAGCTAAGCCATCTCTCCTTCCTGTCCAGCAAATAAAGAATCAAGTGCTGGCTCACCTAAGCCACTGGTCCCAATCTACTGCTGAAGCAAACAATCGTCTGAGATTTCTCAGCTTTCCCCTCAACCCACCTAACATGCCTGGCCACTAGTGTAATGATTAGCAGGCTGGCAGAATTCCTCTCTAAGTACTGCGGTCTCCACCCCCGCTCAACTGCCTCCAACCAAACATTTCCTTCCTGCAAACAAAAGCTGGAAAACAAGAACCGGTGAGATGGCTCACTGGGTAAAAGTACTTGTCCCACAAGAACTAAGTTTGATCCCTAAAACCCACATAAAGGTGGAAGGAGAAACCAACTCCACAAAGTTGTCCTCTGACTCCAACATGCCGACAGATGCAGGCACACTCCCACAAAATAGTGTTTAAGATATAAAACTAAGGCTGGAAACAGCCCAACAGCCCTGTGAGTCAAATAAACGCTGTGTTAGAATCTCATTTACTTAACCACAAATTCTACAGACCAGCAGAATTTGGTCAGTGTGGGAAGCAAGTAATTAAACAAGAAAAGAGTAACTATCAACGGATTTATTTAATCTGCAAGCATCTGAACAAACACTGAGACGAAGTGAATTGTCTAGCCATGGCAACAGATTAGAGGTATCGGGGCGAAACCCAGAGAGACCAGGGAGGGTAAGGTTCTTCTCCTATTATTTTTATCTTTCCTGGTTTGGCTCAAAAGGGTCAAGATCTTTCCTGTCTTCACTGTCCATCCCAAGTCTCGCCACTTCTCACCTCCCACTGTTTCCTTCCCTGTGACAGGAAGGCGATGAGAGGAGTCAGATGACAGGGCATGATAAGAGGAATTGTGGTGAGGAAAAGCCTTTTAATTTTGTTTGACCTTGTGCTACACAATTCCTCTTATTTATTTTGGTTTGCATATCAGTTTTACTATGTAGCCCAGGCTATCCCCAAAACACCATCTTCCTGCCTCAGCCTATCTAGTGCTGGATTCATACTCGGCAACTTTACTACAAGAGAAAAATCTGCACAGAGTGACCTTCTCTTCTGGCAAATACACCAGCACTTTATGAATCTCAGCAGTGCATTTTCTCACTGTGCAGGACGCTTACAAAATCCCACTAGATCACAATCACCAGCAAACACATTTTCCTTGATGACAGTGGTCCACTGTTGGTCTGCCATAACGGCCTGCTCCGTGTCACCTGTGTTCACGGACAGGTGCCTGTCAGGGTGCGGGCTTTGCTTGTTGCTTCTGCAACCAGAGAGGACTGAAAGCCAACCAGCATTTCACACCTGGGCTGCCACCTCTTCCGTCTTCTGAACGGCTCTGGAATCAAACATGACTTGTCTGCCTCTCCTCTCACAGTCCTGGTACACTATCAGGCGAATGTCACTCAGGTCAAACTCCGCACACGACCAACTGTGGGTTCAAAAGAGAGAAGTTGGATTACCTGTAACACCTGGCGTGACTGCGGGCAAATACAGTTTCCAGCCAGCGTGCCTGGGTGTGCAAATACTGCCAGTCCTCACGCTGAGGATGGCGAGGCTGCCCTAGTGGTAAGTCACCAGAGAGAAAGCACTGCCTTCCACAGCCAGTTTGGGCACAAAGGGCGGGAAGAAGTTGCAAGGACACACAGAGAGGGCTGAGCTGGATGCCTGGCCTCTGGGGAGCGCACACCAGCTAAGGTGTGCTTATGCTTCTGTGTCAGGCACCCCCCCTCGGGTGGAGCTGGCAGCAGGCACACAGCCTAAAGATTAGTACTTTCCCCTAGTAGGTCCGGCTTGATCGGAGGCTTTGAAACCAAACACATTCGCCAGCCATGACGACTAGCAATAAGGGAAACTCAGTCTGTACCTGAGCAAAAAACATTAAGAAGAAAATACAGGTTTAGACAGAAGTAATGCATTCTCTCAGAAAGCAGAACTACAGAACAGAACTATTTACAGAGAGCGCTTTCAGCAGACGGTTAGCGATCTGTTCAACACGTATTTAATTTGTATTGTATTCGAGGCGCCGTAATAGGTGCTAGGGAATCAATAATTAATCAAACTGACTGGGTCCCTGCCCTTATGAAGTTCAAGGCTTAGTGGGAGATATTATTAACCTAATAGTTACATATAAACATATAACTACAAACTGTCTGAAGTTCAAAAGGAAAACTGAAGGATGCGGAAGAGTCTCAGAGCCTGGTGACAGTGACTATAAGCTCAGCACTCAGGAGCCTGAGGCAGAACTGCTGGAGAGTTAGACCAGCATGATTACACAGCAAGACCTTGTCTCAAAAGGGGTGAGATTTAGGGAGAGAGGCAGAGAAGTCACTGAGGATTTAAAGCGACATTTAAATGCAGACCTGAAGAATGAGCAGTTAAGGTGAATAGCACACAGCAGCCGAAAGAGACAGAGGAAAGCCAGAGAGAGCTGATCCAACAGGGGAAAGGAGGGGAGGACTGAAGTAGGCCCAGGCAGGATAAGCTCTGAACACAAAGAGCAGCCAAAGAAAGCAGATGGTTGATAAGATCAGATAGCCTACTGCCCTAAGAAAAGCAGACGCGTGGGAGTGGAAGGCCTGGGGAGCCAGGCCCCTCGCAATGCCTGCTACAGGCTACAGTGAGCAGCAGAGGTAGGAAACAGATAGATTAGAGTAGAATCTAGAAGATGTGCCCGAGGCAGGGGGAGTGCTGACCGCTAGGCAGACTCTGCTATAGGACATGGTAGCAGACGCTGAAGGGACGGGGGACAAATGGACAGGTGGATAAAGGCATGAAAATTGAAAACTGTCAAAGTAGTAGACTGTGTGAGTGTAGACAGACACAGCTGGATTCAAATCCAAAGGCTTTCACCTTCCATTTTGCTGTTGGAGTAATCAATGTATAATCGCTGACCTCACCAGCCTGCTGTGTGGATTAAGTGAAATATGTAAAGGGCTTCACACAGCTCAACAAACACACAAGTTCCAAAATGCTAAGCATTCCTTCCCAGGAGTGAGAAAACCACAGTTTTTGTGAGAAGCTCTAGCCCTTTGGACCTTCTCTGTTTCAGGGAATGGCAGTTAATACAAAGCATATTCTCTGAGGGAAGCAGACTTGTTCTCTTAAACTCCAGCTGCAAACAAACAAACAAACAAACAAACAAACAAAAAACAAACAAACCAGAAAGGTCTGGTTGTTCCTCCTTTCACCAGTGTGTTTTCTAAGTTGAGCCCGGCACACTTGCCCCTTTGATGGTGAGCACTGTGGCAAAATGTATTTTAGAAACCATTTTTACTAAGCTTTCACTCCAGAGGCTGACAATGTTCAAAGTATGACCAATGACACATGCCACATGACACCAAGCTGATGGGTAGAGGCTGCCCAACCCCTACAGCCCAGCCTATACCTCATGACCCTAGGGTGGCTATTTACCATCACATGGTTAAATGCTGTTTGTTGGAGTTATTGTGGAGGAAAGCGGAAGAGCGATGTCATAAGACGGATTCTCACTGACACTCAAGACACTGGGAATGCAATACTTCTGTCAGAACCAGTCTGATGACTATGACCCATACTGCCACATTTTTAATATATATAAGGCTATTAAAACTCTCTCTGGCTGGGTTTGGTGATATATGGCTTTGATCTCAACAAAGAGGCAGGTGCACCTCTGTGAGTTCCAGGTCATCCTGGTATACATAGTGAGCTCCAGGACAGCCAAAACTACATAATAGAAAGACCTTGTTTCTAAAACAAAACAATAACAACAAAAACCCTCTGTCTGAAATCTGTGTCAAAACATACAAGGGCTAGAGCTACAACTCAGCAGGATAGTACTTGCTTAGCATTTCCAAAAGCTCTGGACTTATCCAAGAACCACAAAACAAACAAAAAGTATATAGGGTGAACTTATTACAAGTGGAAAAAAACAATCAACAAAGATTTACTCACCACAAGGTATAGTGGCACATATCTTTAATCCCAGCACTCAGGAGACAGAGGCAGGCAGATTTCTGTGAGTTTAAGCCAGCCTGGTCTACTTACCATGTTCCAGGCCACTATGAAGTGAAAAGAAAAGAAAAAAGAAAAGAAAAGAAAAGAAAAGAAAAGAAAAAAGAAAGAGAGAGAAAGAAAGAAAGAAAAGAGAGAAAGAAAGAAAAAAGAGAGAGAGAAAGAGAAAGAAAGAGAAAGAAAGAAAGAGAGAGAGAGAAGGGGAGAAAGAAAGAGAGAGAGAGAGAAAGAAAGAGAGAAAGAGAGAGAGAAGGGGAGAAAGAAAGAGAGAGAAAGAGAGAAAGAAAGAAAAAGAGAGAGAGAAAGAGAAAGAGAGAAAGAGAGAGAGAAAGAAAGAGAAAGAGAGAGAGAAAGAAAGAGATAAAGAAAGAAAGAAAGAAAGAAGAGGAGGAAGAGGAAAAAGAAGAAAAAGAGGAGGAAGAGAAGGAAGTAAAGAAGGAAAAAAGAAACAGATTTTTTTTTTTTTTTTTTAGTATCTTGCATAATCTGAATTTGCTCATAAAATTACACTCTGCCAAAGCGGCAAAGTTTACAAAGCAATCCTTGAGGACTATCAGTTTAAATTTAGTCAAACTAAAGACATCTCTAGAAGCATTCAAAATCAATAGTGATCATAACACTTTGTTAAATTCGCATTCTTTTTTAATTAAAAAAAGAGAGGAACTCGGTGTGTTAGTATTAGCTATAACTACAGCACTTTGGAGGCAGAAGTACTGCATATTTGGGGCCAGGGTAGGCCCACAGTGATTTCCAGATCTGTCTGGACTGCAAAGTGAGACCCTGTCTTTAAAAAAAAGGGGGGGGGGATAAGAGAGGAAGAAGAGAGAGATGTGTGTGTATATACATTTCAAAATATCCCAATTAAAAAAAAAAACCCAAATGTTTTCAAAGTATTCATTAAAAGGATAAAAACTCTACTCTTTACCCAAATGAATGTTATTTTGATTTAATATGCAATCATTATTTTGATGTTTGCCATCTAGAATATTCCTGAGGAAACTATAGCCAAGTATGGCAATGAGATTCTTTGGAGTAAAATAGGCCTGGGGTGAGACCTCAGCTCTGCCTGATTCATAGCCTGGGGTAGATCTCTGTGGCAGCGATAGGTAACATGGGCCAATTCCTCCATGGTGGGAAGAAAAAACCCACTCCCTCAAGTTGTCCTCTGCCCTCTATTTGTGTGCCATGGCATGTACACACACACTAAACATAAGTTTAAATAGTTATAAGAAAAACTTTAAACTTCATGATGCTGTTTGTTTGGTTAGAACTCCTTACTTCTCAAATTGTACACCAAGAATACAAAACAAGCAACTAAATCATGAATTATTTCCCTAAAATCTAACAATAGCAATAGCACAAAGCATATGAGGTACAGAAAACATGTTTCGTTGAAGTATGTGTGTGCTATAAACCCAGACTGGGGAGACAGAGGCAGAAAAATTCAAGGTCAGCCAGGACTACAGAACAAGACCCTACTGCAAAACCAAATAAAAACCAAAGTCACACCAAAAAGATTAAGATACATACCATGCAGTATAGGAAGACTATGTTATTACTAGAACCCGCTTACCCACCCACAAAGAGTCCCCAAAAAGATACGTTGGGGTCCTGTCCCCATGAGTCAGAACTTGCCTAGAAATAAGGTGTTTGGAGATGTACAAGTTAAGATGCAGTCATGCTGAACTAGGATGGGTGCTAACCTCATGACTTCAGTCCTCTTAAGAATGAGACTTGGATACAGACACAGAAAATGACAAACAAGAAAGTCCTGCCACTGAAAACAGAGCACAAACAATAAAAAGACAAACAGTGCCCTCTCAAATTTTGGGGGGTACTGGGTGTGTCTCCTGCTGGAGTCATGTGCCAATGAGGCAGTAAAGCTGGCTTAGAGTGAATATGGACTTAAAATACTCTGCCAACAAGGTGTATTTCATATTCTATTTTTTATATGAATCAGTTTATTTACTTTGTATTACAGCTGTAGCCCCCTCCCTCATTCCCTCCCAATCCCACCATCCCTCCCACATTTCCTCCCTGCCCCTCTCTAAGTCCACTAATAGTGGAGGTCCTCCTCCCCTTCCATCTCACTCTAGTTTATCAGGTCTCATCAGGACTGGCTGCAATGTCCTTCTCTGTGGCCTAGCAAGGCTGCTCCTCCCTTGGGGGAGGTGGGGAGAGCGCCAGCCATTGAGTTCATGTCAGAGACAGTCCCTGTTCCCCTTATTTGAGAAACCCCCTTGGATGCTAAGCTGCCATGGGCTACATCTGAGCAGGAGTTCTAGGTTATACCCATGCATGGTTGTTGGTTGGAGAATCAATCTCAGAAAAGACCCCTGTGCCCAGATATATTTGGTCTTTGTGGGGCTCCTGTCCTCTCCACGTCTTATTAACTCCCCCTTCTTACATATGATTCCCTGCACTCTGCCCAAGGTTTGG